AAGTGTCAGTAAAGTTGTATTATCAAAAACATCCTTGGTTTTCAGTTTAACATGTGTCATTATGAGTGTTTTAGTCAGGACTGATTTTATATGACTGTCCAATTATCCTAAAATGCATGTATATGTATAAGGTATACAAATATGTATAGTTTATATGAACTGCCACATTATACAAGTGTTTCAGAAATTCAATCCCTGAGCTATTAATATTAACACTTATAAAAGGAAAATACTTTTTAAGATTTTGCTTATCGGGATATTAGTTACTAGGGACTCTTAAGTATCTATCTCACCATAATATAGCAAGCTATTTCAAAAGTCGCCATCTGACCTGAGTACTCCAACTGTTTTTGTGAGAAAATTTAGCAAATGGCAAGGACAAAAATGTTAAAGTGGGGTGAAATAGGGAGGAAGAAAGGAAAGGAAAAAAGGGAAGGGAAGGAGGGAGGGAGGAACAAATGGAGGAAGGAACAAAGGGAGGGAGAGAAGGAAAAAGGAAGAAGGGAAAAATGAAAGGTAAGCCGGGTGCCAGTGGCTCACGCCTGTAATCCTAGCTACTCAAGAGGCTGAGATCTGAGGATCGCGGTTCAAAGCCAGCCCAGGCAGGAAAGACCATGAGACTCCTATAATAAACCACTAGAAAACCGGAAGTGGTGCTGTGGCTCAAGTGGTAGAGCGCTCGCCTTGAGCTGAAGAGCTGAGGGACAGCGCCCAAGCGCAGAGTTCAAGCCCCACGACCGGAAAAAAAAAAAAAAGAAAGAAAAGAAAAAAAAAAAAGAAAGGTAATTGAAACTCAATCAAATATTAATCAGAGGCCAAAGCCATACTGAAACTGGGCTATGAAGACACAGACCAAAGCTTGATGCAAGGTGAGACCTTTAAATAAAGCTTTTGCTTCTCAAATCCAAATGTTGGAAACTACCCAAATCCCAGGGATCGAAAAATAAATAGTACTACTTCCCATTATAGGCAATAAAAGTAAAGTACAATTTATACATAAAAATGTGGATCAACCTTAGAAACAAATATTGAGTGAAAAAAGCAAGTCATCAATGTTACATAAAGGATGATGAAATTTTCATAAAATTCAAACTAATGTTTATGATAATAAAACCACAACTTATATGGCATTACTTTGTGCCAGACACTTCTAAATTTTACAAATATGTATACACGCATTCTTTTAAATTTGCTGGCTTTGGGCCATTTTTATTTCACTGAAAAGGAAATATGTAATTCTGTAATAAATTGAACTGCTTTGGTAAAGTTTTTGCTATTATATCAGTTATATTAAAAATATCACCTATGCCTGGTTACCAGTGGTTCTTGCCTATAGCCTTAGCTACTTAAGAAGCTACTATCCAATGGATCACAGTTAAAAGCCAGCCCTGGCAGAAGAGTCTGAGACTCCATCTCCAATTCACCAGCAAAAAGGCTAGAGGGGTGACTCAAGTGGTAAAGTATCCAAAAGCCAAGGTAGGGTGAAAGACCTTGTGTTCAAATTCTAGTACCAGCATGCTAGCCTACCCTCCCCACCCACAAAAAAAAAAAAAAAAAATGAAGTTAAGATGGGAAATGATTCAAGCATATCGTTTTCTTTAAAAATATACATGTTTTTGGTATCTATACATATTTATATGCATTTTATCTAGATATTTGACATGTTGCTATACCATGAAAAATCATTTGAGTCTTTGGAACTCATGTTGATTATTGTATTTTATGTAAAAGGTCAAACAATGGCTATAGTTTTGACACTGTCTAGGCCATTGTCATATATGTAACGTGTGAAGATCTTTCAGAGAAAGGCATACACTAGACCGTAACATACTCAGAGGATATCTTTTGGGAATACAGATTTGAATGTTATCAGAGTGATAACATTTCTTGTTAAATAAAATGGATTAAATATGAAATGCTTTTTTTTATATTTTAGTTATTGTCTTACAGCCAACCCTCATTTGCCTGACTCATCCTTCACTTCTTTTCTGGTTGTGAATTTAGGATTACTAAGCAGCCATTGCATCTAAAGTCATAACCATTCTCTACTAAAAATGTAGGCTACTTTTCTTCCTTAACATTTGGTATTAAAGAAAATCCCAAATCACTATGTGAGCTGAGATACTAGTTGTACACCAAGAGCCCAGCTGTGGCAATTTTTTGCTATTTTGTGCTAAAATTTCTATCCTAACCATTATAATATCAGAAACAAATACATTTTAAATGAGGTAGACTTCTAAATGAAAATCAACAATGTACTTATCCAGCAACAGAATAGTTTTAAGAATGAATTCAGAACTTATTTCTAAATGTAAACATTTTTATAGAGCTTGGAAAATAATTTTGTTTTTTTATTGCCTACTGGAATTCCAGAATGGTGTTATCTGTTAATAGATGGCCTATTTTTTAATATAATATTATTATTATTCATAAGGTCTTACACCTAGGGGTTACCATTTCATCAGGTAATGAGTACATTTCTTTTTTTTTAACAATGTCACCCCTTCCTTTACTTTCCCCCAGTTTCTCCCTCCCATCCCTGCCCACAGGTTACATTGCTCGTTTTCCACATAGTGTATACTAAAAAACATGTTTGCATTTGCTCACCTTTCCTCCCTCTTTCTGTGCATCCCCCTTTTGCTTCTACTAAAAAAAATAAGAACAAAAGCAAAAAAAGAAAAAAAATACCCTTGTGACCACCACCACCTCCACCACCAATTGCAAACAAAAAGCCCATGTTTTCATTTCCTAGAATTCATTTCAATAAATAGTATATTAAATGTTCAAAGAAGTCATATCTTTGGGTTCATCCTCTGAGTATCCTTTAGTCTTGACAGTTTGTGTATGAACGCCTAGAGTTCTGTATAGGCCATCATATACAGTTATGTTTCAGGTCTATCCTCCATAAATTAGATGGTCATATCGTATTAAATGATCACATTGAAGTATATCTAGCCATTTAAGTAGTTTTGCATTAGAAATTTTTATGTTAATAAAATTTATGTTAATAAATTATCTATGTGATAAATTATTAGATCGTTTTTATTTCCCTCAGATAAAAATGCATTTTATTCCTATTTGCTTATCTTTTTCTACATCATAATCCAGTCTTTCCACCCATCTCCTGTATATACACACAGGAGTATATACCTACACATTTGTCTTTGAGCTTATGTTTAGTATCTAGTTTTATATCTAATACTACTTCCCTAGGTTACATTGATTTTTTTTTTCAGCAAAACATTATTTTATAGCTTTTAACATATGTGGCCATAATATAGAAGGCAACATTGTAGAAGATCCTAACTATAGTTCACTTTCAAATCTTGCAGCTTTCTGCCTCTCAGCACTTTCATTACAATGAAGAAATACTGACCAGTGTTTCATAGACATTTCAATCCAGATTTGAGTTTTGAAGCGCTCACATATGAAAACATCTTCTATTGCACCCAGTATTTTATACTAGGATGATAATTATTAGTGCTGACACATATCAAGAACTGTGAAGAATTGGAGAGTTTACTTACTGACAGGCTCACAAGTTAACTTATCACAGTTTTATGGATATTAGCAGAAAATACACTACGATAGGCCCAGAGACAAATATAGTTTATTATTCACAGTAGTAACCAGGAATAGTTTTGTAGGTCTGTAAGCCTACATTCACACTGTTGATGTAAAGAAGCCCTGGTTTGTGTTACTAAAAGAGAAATCCTGAATTTCAGGAACTAATCTTTATTTTTTTGTTTTTGGTTTTTTTTTTTTAATCAGGAGATAATGCTGGCAATTTTCCCCTTTTTCATAGAAAATAAGTTAATATCCATTGGTTCATGCTCTTCCTCACTTACCTTAGAACAGTTCATTTACTCTCTTAATGAGAGAAATGGCTGTGTGCATTAATATCCCTCTACATTTTCTTTTTTCTACTTTGTACTTTTCTTGTTTTGGCTAATAATAGAAATTATTATGTGATTTCTAATAAATAACTTGAATTAGTTTTGGAATATTAAAAAAGGGCTCAGTGTAGTAGACCAATGGAAAAATGTTTGTCTAATATTTGTAGATACTTGGGTTTAATCATTAGTACCAAAGGGTGGTGAGAGTATTATAGTAAAGAAGAAATTGAAAGTCTCCCCCAAAATGAGATAAGTCACCTACTTAGTTATAGTTTAATTATATACTGTTAAAAAATATTGTTGTGATAAACTAATGTGATAATCCGTTTGGTTTCATTGGCACTTAAATACAGCCTCTGTAGGAAATTGTAATGTGATGATGTCATGCTGTTTGTTGGTACTTACAGAACTCCATATTTGCCTGCTAATTCACACTAATGCCTCATGAGTGGCATTTCTTGATTGGTATTAAACTCAGAAATAGGAAATTAAGTAGCTAATCACATATGTATTGAGATCTTTTTGATTAACATGTTATTATTGATTTTGATCAACAGTTCTTATTGATTTTGATCAAAAGTTGTCTTTATGACACTTCTCTCTATATGGGAAACATTGAAAAATTATTGCACATAATATAAAGGTAACTGTTACAAGGTGTCAGCCCTTCTATTTTCCTGGTGCCTAATAAACAGGGAAAATATGGAAGGCTCATACAAATTGTAAGATGTGCTTTTGAAAATGTATGTTGGAAATCAGATTTGATTTGTGAACTAAATGCTTTTTTATTTTTCGTTTGTATCTCCCTTCTTTCTTTTAGCTAATTCCACTTCAATGTAGGTGTTGTAAATGTAATAGTATTTATAGATACATAATGATTATATCAGGAGTTTTGTGTATAACTTTCTAAAGAATAATATAAACTAAGCATTTACCATTCTTTAATATTTAAACATAACTATTACTAATATAAGAATTAAGCATTGTCTAAAGATATTCAGTTATAAGCCTACTTTTGGTATAATTTCAGGTTGATGTTTTTCCTTTTTCTTATAGAATCATCATAGGTTGCAATTAACCATTTTTCAAATTTGTTTGTAATAGCAAGCAATAAAAGAAAACATCAAAAAAAAAGAAGCAATAGAGAAAGAAAAACGTGCCAGGATCGCCAAAGAATTAGCAGAGAAAGAAAGACTGGAACGACAGCAAAAGAAAAAACGCTTACTTGAGATGAAGACTGGTAAGTACTCATTTCTATTCATCCTGTGGAGACTTAAGATTTATTTGGGCTTAGCACTTTAGTACTTGAACAAAGATATAATGACTTACTTCTGTAATTAAACCACACAGCAATGCCCTCTCCAGTTTGCTCATAAGTGCTATCTTTATTCTAATGTTGGTCATGGATGACTTGGTCCTCTAGTATGCTCGTTTGTTTGCACTATAATCCTCCATCTTTCACTACTGCTTGGATAACCAAACTATAATGGTGTGTGTTAAGTAACCAAAGTTCCATCCCGGGAAATTGTCTCGGGGAATTCTATGGGACATATGGTCTAGTTTACTCCCCCAAATACTGTATGGGGTAGAAAATAGGGAAGGAGGAAAAATTTATTAAGATATTTGAGAAAAAGCAGCAGTTGTGTCTCAAAGTAATGTATTTCTGTTGAGGCTCCTGTTTTATGCTGGGAAAGGGGGGCATGGAGTGGGGAAGAGAAAAAGAATTAGAGAAAGAGACATGAGAGACATGGAAATCAATTTATATGGAACTACAAATGACTGTAGAAAAAGAAGTCTGAAAGTTAGGGATTATTTTTTCCTTCTAGACATGACGCTATTGTTGTCAGTATATTTCATAGTATCCTTTAGAAGCTCATACTAAAATTCCACAGACAAAAAGATGTAGTGTCTGAGATTTGTGTAAATATAGTCTGGGATGACTGGGAGGTGGGCGATCTTATAGATAAAACAAGATTTGCCATAAATAGTAATTGTTAAAGTTGGATAATGGGTACTTGGGAGAAAGAATGTCCTTACTATTTTCTCTAGTTTGTATATTTTCACTTTTTATAATAATTTTCTTTTGGAACATCTTTAAAAAAGAAAAAAAAAACAATGAGAATTTTATAGAAACTGTATTTCAGAAGCTAAAAGATACCACTAATGTAGAAGCAAAACGCATTCAGTAAATTCTACTTACATTTTCATCCCCTTAAAAATTCTGACTCTTTTGCTTCCAATCCACTAAGAATTGCAGAAGGTTTTAATTAAAATCCATCAGCTTCACTGCTAAATCACCATAGTTTGTAACTGAGGTCTGCAATTGCACCTAAGGTTTCCCCAGAGATAGACAGAGCTGCCTACTAGTGCTTCTTCACTTTCATTTTTACAGGCATATTTTATGTTTAATAAACCTAACTGACTATCTTAATATATTATTGCTCTTGTTTCTTTAAGGAAAAAAAATCATAAAAGTACATTTTTTTGTTTATGTGTGAGATTCAGAAAATGTTACTAGAAATATCTTTGAAGTATTTACAGAAACAAAGATCAGAAAGGTTTAGTATTTACTTTAAAAATATACACCAGAGGGCTGGAAAGGTGGCTCAGTGGTAGAGCGCTTGCCTTACATGCATGAAGCCCTGGGTTCGATTCCCCAGCACCACATAAACAAAGAGAAAAAAAGCTGGAAGTGGTGCTGTGGCTCAAGTGGTAGAGCAGTGGTAGAGCGCTAGCCTTGAGCTGAAGAGCTGAGGGACAGTGCCCAGGCCCAGAGTTCAGGCCCCACGACCAGACCCCCCCCCCAAAAAAATATATATATATATATCATAGTGAATATATAAATGAAGTATCTTGCTTTATTTTGTTGAACTTTCTGAATGTTTTATGTTATTCTTAATCTGTAATTTTTAAGATGTATGTAATTGAACTCACTAAGTGTATCATCCAATTTAGTTGACATTATTCAATGACAATGTATAGATGTTTCGGATTTTTCAATGTACTCCATATATAAACATAAATAATTTCAAAATGTTCATGGTAACTTCATTAAAATAATACGTTTTTGTGTTCATGTTGTCAAATAGATTTTCAAGATGTTACCCTAATTTCCTCAGCTTTCTATATAGGATTATGGGTTATAACCTCGGTTGAGGATCCTCTCTCTCTCTCCCTCTCTCTCTCTCTCTCTCTCTTTTTCTTTCTCTCTCCACTTCATCTTTTTTAGATTTTCTGTTGATTTAATAGATTAAAGTTATGTTTTATTATCCTAATTTGAGTTTTGAATCAGATTTTATAAGTGCATTTAGTTAATTCGTTTTCCTTCTTTTTGAATTATGTTTATCCTAGACTTTTTCTATTATTCATTAGACATTACTGTTTTTCTTTTAAATATCTGTATTATTTTTGATCTGTAATATTTTATGGTAATTGTGGCCTTGGTGATTTTATCTCATTACCTTTGAGTTTAAAAGGTAATCTTTATATAACTTTTTTGGTGCATGTACCAGGGCTTGAACTCAAGATCTACACTTGCTTGGTTTTCTTGCTCATGGTTGGTGTTCTACCACTTGAGCTAAACCTTGAGTCAGCATTTTTTTTCTGGTTAATTAGAGATGGAGTCTTGTGGACTTTCTTCCTAGGCAGGATTCAATCCTTGATCTTCTAGCTCTCAGCCTCCTGAGTAGTTAGGATGACAGGCATGACTACCTGGCACCCAACTCAGAAAGTAATCTTCAGACTAATTTTGTATCCCCTTTTCTACCTTAAATTGGTCATAAAGTGACTCAATTCCATTGAATTCCATTAACTCATCTATTTGATATTTACTGGGGTCTGTTTATGATTTTTATCCAAATAATTCTATTGTTAACCATCAACTGGTTAATAATTGGTTTATTTTACTTAACAATAGATAATTGGGGATAGTTGAAGGTATTACTTTTCATTCTCAATTTTTAAAATTAATTTGAATATTTGAATTTTAATGGGTTAAAGATTCAGTTCCAACTCGTGATTATCATAGACCTTGTAATATTTGAGCATCATATTTGATACATTGGGCTGGTAGCATGAAACCTTTTCCTTACTATTTCGTTCCACACAATATGAAAAATATCAAAGATGGGTCTCAAAGACATGAAAGATCCCAATAGGAATTCTCAAGGCCTTTTATGTGTTACGTTTGCATATGATCCCCATACTTCAATATTCTTTAGGGCATTGTTCTTCAGAGCATATCCCGAATAATATTTTTTTTGTATACTAAAGCTGAAAACTGTAAGAGTCTACTTTTGAGGTATTTTTACTTTTAAAAACATTGAAAGGTTTGGTCAACAATCTTAGATTTCTTTCCTTATATTGGTATTTTAATCTAGAGTTAATTCCCAAACTTTATAGCATGTAAATATATTTTCCATACTTTAGGTAAAACTTTCTTAAATGTATCTAAACATAAATAAATAAACAATGATTATCTGAATGGTTGTTAATTCTCCCTTAAACATAACACAATATAGAAAAAAAACTATAGTCTATTGAAGTAGTTTCTATAATGAAGCAAGTCAAATAAATATCAACAGTCAGTTTCAGAGAATACATTTTTTTCATGTTTAAATAGTGTAAATGTACAATCACCTTTTTCTTTCCATATTGATATATAGAATATGCTTTTGGCAAATTATGATTATGATGTTATTTGTAACATTTATAAAATAGAAGTTGCTAATGTGTATCTTATTAATGCTTAGTTACTTTGGTTTAATGAAAAACATTGGGGGTTCTCTTAATGCATGCCTTGAATTCTGTGCATTCAAGGTTATAAAATATGTATTTCTATTATAAACTATTTTTATTATATACTATTGTATTATTAGCCATTTTTGTTTCCTTTGTTTGTCAATATATAGGGATTTTTCCCAGATTCTGAGATTATAGTGGTAATTACAAATTAATAAGATACCATCCATAATGAAATTTATAACTATTAGTGAGTCAACCAAATTTATAGTAAAATTTTAGACTTTGTGTGTGAATTAAAATAATAGGTTGTTGGGATAGAGGATGTCAGGGTGGTAGTAATCAAACTGGGATTTAGAGAATTATTAAGAATATTAACATATATGAAACTTCCTAATTTAAAATACTACTTCATAGAAATTCTGAGAAATTGATTGTGTTTATAACTAGTATCTTTGATTTTTGACAAGCAAGTTTATATTTCTGTGCTACACTATGATTACTAATGTTATATGTTATTTTAAATATGTAACTATGAGCATCAGCTTAAACTTTATGGAAGGTATTTTTTTTCCTCTGCAGGTATTTTATTTTGGTATAGAAAAAACATTAGTATTCAGATCTTCGTAGAAATCTTCAGCCTTGCTTTTCTCATATTAAAAATATGGAAGGATAAATTATTGAATTTACATTCATTTTTTGCTTTTATTTCATCCTATTTTTGTATGCATCTTATTTTTGTGTACCTTTAATGATAGTGGAAGAGAAGAATTTTCACATATCTCTGTCCTAAACCTACAGGGAACTTCCTTCCATATATTTCCATGACTTTAACATTTCTACTATGCAAATAAGGACCAGATTTTATTCCACAGATTTGCAAATTCTTGTATCAATACCTGAAGTAGTGGAGTAAATAAACTCTTGTCTTTCTTACCCATCATAAATTGCTGCTTGCTTTTGGCAAGAAAATAGATAATTCTTTTCAAATCTACTATTATTTATTATCAGTAACATTTCAGAATGCCATTTTTGTTAATAGAATATAAAGAAAGATAAAAGAGTGGGCTAAATTTCCTTAAAAGCCAGTTTGAGCAGCAAATCCAAAAGAAGCACAGATTTTTATGGTATCATTTTATAATTTAAAGATCTTTTTCTTCTCATTTAAAAAAAGTCCTTTAAAGAGATGTGTCTGGACCTCTCAAATACTCATATTCTCTTATTTCTACTGAATAATTGGGCATTATTTTCTAAAAAATAAGCAAATTGCATTTTCTAAGTGCATTTTATCAGTATGTGAGTTTTTAATAAGTTATCTAAAGTTGATTTTTAAATTTCTAATATTTATTTTCAAAAATGTCTAAGTTTCTGTAGAACCTAGTTAGGATAAACAACTAGCATTCACTTATCTGAGTAACATCTATTCTTATGTGTAATTATTTCTAGAAAGACAAATGGGAATAATAAAGTTATGTGATTATATTCTTTTTGTACAAAGTC